ACAACAATGACCAACACTGAAACCAGTACTGGCATGGGCCCTTTCATATAAAAAAAACCCACTCATCCCCACAGGCTGGGTTTAACCAATCCCTGGCTTCTACTCACTTATTTGTGGATGTTACTAAACAATGTGATCTCATGTTTTTACTGTGTATTTGCAAAGCTCTTATCTTATAATCATTACATTCCAATCCTCTTAGATTCTGTTCTCAGCAAATAAAAATTTGGTGAAGGATGAGAAATGTTAACTCCCACTTTATAGGGAAGAACACAGAGAATCAAGGGACATTGTAATCAACAAGTTATTTTTGGAAATTTCTCAATGGAATCAGAAAGACTAAGTTGGATCCCAGTTCTGCCACTTCCTGGGCTGGGTGACCCTGGGTGAGTTTCTTAGCTTCCTGAGTGTCCCCATCTGTAAAACAGAGTCACCATATACACTTCATGTGGCGCCTTGATATTAAAATTGAGTAATAAAGACTGGACACCCACCACAGTTCTTGGCATAGATAGTTGCCGGTTAATGGCTGGTTGCCTCCCCTTGATTATGTCCTTCCACTTGCCCCAACTCAACCACACAGGGGAAGATCTGGCCAAATGCCTCCTTGAGCACAGTTGGCTCCTTTGTGATCCTGGCTCTTCACTGTTCCTTACTCATCTATTTATTTATATAACAAATATTTATTGAGCACCCACCATGAGCCAGGCACTGTTTTAGACTTGGAAGTTTTAGCAGTGAGCAATACACCTAACCCCTTGCCCTTGTAAGCATGCATTTTAACAGATTATATTATACTATAGGCCCTATGCATGGGTGGGGTTCCTCAGCCTGGCCATGATTGGGGTGATCGGGGCCATATTTCCCAGTCCCAATCAGGGCCAACTGGGGCTGCCCGGCCAGGGGGAGGGACCGTGGAAGGTTGGCCGGCTGCCGGAGGTTGGCTGTGGGAGTGCACTGACTACCAGGGGGCAGATCCTGAGTTGAGCATCTGCTCCCTGGTGGTCAGTTCACGTCATTGTGACCAGTTGACTGGTCGTTTGGTCGTTCAGTTGTTTGGTCACTTAAGCTTTTATATATATAGATATATTATATTATTTATATCATCTCATATCATATTGTAATAAAATAAATAATCATCAGTAGTTGGATGGTTAGCGAGCACTATGGAGAAAAACTGAGCAGGTAAAGGGAACTGAGTGTGCAGGGGAAAGAGCCACAGAGACCTCATTGGGAAGGGCACATTTCAACCAAGATTTGGAAAAGGGGAGAGAGCGAGCAAGACCCCTGTAGTAGTCCTGGAGGAAGTTCCAGCTACTAGCTTCCCTCTCTCCCTCTCCCCATCACATCAAAAACTTCCACTTGGGAGAGCAGTTCACCCCAGAGACTACATGAAGTGGACAGAGGATTCAGCTCTTGAATTTTTTTTTTCAAGTTCTTTTCCTGGTTCCACCCCACCCTCCTGCAGGTCTTCTTCCTCAGCACAAACTGTCACAGTGGGCAGCCTCTGCTTTTCCTCCACGCAACTCCAAAACATTTCCCAGACGTTTGCTCAGCAAGCATAACTCCTTTCCACCAGAGGGAAGGGGACATCCCCAGGCCCAGAAACTGGCCCAGAGGAGGGGGAGGAGCCCAGGGCTGAAGCCTCCCATGGCCCACTGCTGCCTGCACATGGCCAGGCATCTCAGCACCCCACCTGCAGGACACACAGCAAAACCCACCTTCACAGCACCTGCCTTTTCTTTAGCGGCAGGAGAGCTGCCCAGAGAGACATGCTTGTAACCGTAATAGTGAAAACTTCATAAAAGACAAACAATTCCTCCAAAACTGCATTGCCCTAACCTTCCCTGTTTGAATCAATAATGGCTTGTGCCCCTTACGTGGGTGGATGTTAGCCCACCGGCATCATTGCAGTACCTAAGTCAGTACAACGCCATGTGTCTGACCGTGGTGAAAGACCACGGTCTGTCTCTACTTCTACTCCGTCACAAACCAGCACTGTTGCAAAATACAATAGAAATCAACTACTAGGAAAATGAATTTAAGACATCAAGGCTTCAAGTGTTTGTTAGATTCAAAACTCCCACTGTCTGCCCGGCCAGCATGCGTGGCTCAGTGGTTAAGCATCGACCTATGAACCATGAGATCACGGTTCGATTCCCAGTCAGGGCACATGCTAGGAATGCAGCCTCCATCCCCAGTGTGGGGCATGCAGGAGGCAGCCAACCAATGATTCTCTCTCATCAGGGATGTTTCTATTTCTCTTTCCCTCTCCCTTCCTCTCTGAAATAAATAAAAATATATATTTAAAAAACGCTGCTGACGGATAGCTGTCCAAGTTTCTGAATGCTTCCTCTTCCTTTCCGCACTGAGCTTGTCCAGCAGCAGCAGCCTGAACTGGGCACTGGTCCTTGGGCATCATTTTGAACAGCGCTGAGCTCAGCGATGCCCCCAGGATTTAAACCTCAGAACAGGGTGGGCACCCGGGATATACCTCCAA